ACTTAACCAAAGTGGTAAAGGACCTGTGCTCCAAAAAGTATAAAACATCAGTGAAAGAAATTGAAGATGACACAAACAAGTGGAAGAATATTCCATGTTCATGAATCAGGAGAACAAGTATTGTTTAAATGTCCATACTACCCAAAGCAATCTACAGATTTAATTCAATCCCTATCAAAATACCAGTAGCATTTTTCACAGAAGTAGAACAAAGAATCCTAAAATGTGTATTGAACCACAAAAAACCCTAAATAGCCAAAGCAATCATGAGAAAGATAAACAAAGCTGGAAGTATCACAATCTCAGATTTCAAGATATACTACAAAGCTGCAGTTATCAAAACAGTATTTTACTGGCATAAGAATAGACACAGATCAGTGGAAGAGAATACAAAGCCCAGAAATAAACCCAGGATTATATGGTCAATTAATCTAGAACAAAGGAGGCAAGGATATACAGTGGGGAAAAGTCTCTTCAACAAATGGCGTTGAGAAAAATAAACAGCTACATGCAAAAAAATTTTTTTAATTGTACCACTTTCTTACACCATATGCAAAAATAAATTCAAAAAAGACTAAAGACCTAAATGTGAAACCTGAAACCATAAAATTCATGTAATAAAATATAAGCAATAATCTCTTTGACATCAGTCATAGAAACATTTTTCTAGATATGTTTCCTTTGGCAATGAAAACAAATTCAAATTTAAATTATTGGTACTATACCAAATGCAAATTTTTTGCACAATGAAGGGAAACATCAACAAAACAAAAAATATACCCCACCAAATGAGGGAAGATATTTGCAAATTATATATCTGATAAAGGGTTAATATCCAAAATATGTAAACAACTTATACAACTCAACATCAAAAAATAATCTGATTAAAAATAGGCAGAAGTCATGTATATTTTCCAAGGAAGACCTACAGATGGTGAAAAGAAACATGTAAAGATGCTCAACATCACTAATCATCAGGGAGATGCAAATCAAAACAACAGTGAGATATCACCTCACACTTGTCAGAAAGGCTAAAATCAAAAAGATAAGAAATAACAAATTTTGGTGAAGATGTGGAGAAAAAGGAATCCTTGTGCACTGTGTATGGGAATGCAAATTGTTGCATCCACTGTGGAAAATAATAGGGATATTTCTCAAAAATTAAAATCGAATTACTATGGGATTCAGTAATTCCACTACTTGGTATTTACCCAAAGAAAACAAAAATACTAATTTAAAAGATATATGTACCCCAATGTTTATTGCAGCATTGTTTACATTATTCAAGATATGGTACCATCCCAAGTGTCCTTTGACTGATTAATGAAAAGAACTGGTATATTTATATAATGGAATATTACTCAGCCATAAAAAAAGAAATGAAATCTTCCCATCTGTAAGAACATGGATGGACCTACAGCATATAATGTTAAATGAAATAAGTCAATCAGAGAAACACAAATACCATATGTTTCGCTCATATGTGGAATTTAAAACCAGAAAAAAATTGACAAAAACAGATCCTTAAATATAGAGAATAAACTGGTAGTTTTCAGAGGGGAGGTGGGGGGATGGGTGAAATAAGTGAAGGGGATTAAGAGTACATTTATCTTGATGAGTACTGAGAAAATATAGAATTTTAAAATCATTATATTATATACCTGGAACTAATATAACATTGTATGTTAATTATACTTGAATTAATTTTTTTCTTATTCATGATTCTGAATCATGGCATGCTTTACCAACATAATTTCAAAAGTGAATTATTTTAATCCAGGAATATAAACAGAAGTGACCCTGAAACATGGCATTAGCCTTATGGTTCTGTTATGAGAATCATTAAGATTCAGGAGTGGTAAGAGTATGGTTCTTTGAGCCTATACTAAAAGAGACCAAGATCCATTAACACAGTTTGCTCATAAATTCCCCAGACAGGAATGAGAAATATATATGTATCCTTTTGAGCCTTCCACTTAGAATGCATGGTTCCCTTTTGTGACTCCTCACCCCCTTTTAATACGCCTTGTTTTTGTTCATTTTGAAGGAGTAGAAATGCTTGGAAAAACAGATGTCATAAAGTCCACTAGTGTCATATGATCTGCAGCTCTTTAAAGAAACCATATTCTTAACCAATCAAATATATCCCATGTGCTGCTTTTGGAACTTTGAATACAGGAGTGAAAAAACAAATAAGACTCACTGTCTGTATGGAGCCTATATTCTTATTGTGAATACAATTAATGAACAAATGAATAAATATGGAATTTTAAATAAAGATGCAGTCTATGAAGAGAAATAAATAGGGTTCAGGCTTAGGAGACTGGACACTTCCTGGGGAAGGAGATGACATAGGATATGGCAACCAGGGAAAGTTTCTATGAAGAGATAACATTTAGCCTGAAATAGTACATGGTGAGAATTTTTAGTCATGAAAAGATCTGCGGAGGAGCAGTCCAAGCCGAAGAAACAGCATACATAATGCCTTGGAAAAACAAAACAAAACAAAACAAAACAAAACAAAAAACAGTCTTGGTGCTTATGAGAAACAAACAAACAAAAAACAAAAAATGCTAGTTTGGCTAAATTATGTAAGAAAAGTGGAAAAAGTGGTACAAAATGAGGGTGGAAAATAGGTAGGGTCTAGATAATGTAGGCATTGAAAACCAAGGTAAGAAGTTTGCGTTTTATTCTGAATGTAATGGAGAACTACTGGAGTGTTTTGAAGCAGGAGAGACTAGAGATAGCAAGACTACTTAGAAACTCTTGCAGTATTTCAAGAAAGATAATGATTGAAACTCTTAAAGTCGTAGTAGTTGAGATGCAGAGACATGGACAGATTCAGGATATATTTTGGAGGTAAGCTAAAGAAGTTTTACTGATTGATCATATGTGGGGGATGAGGAAATGGATGGAATCACAGATGATATCCAGGTTTTAAAAGATCAAATGGGTATTTACTAAGATGGAAAAGACTGGGGAGGTATAGATTTGGAATGGTTTGAGAGTTGTTATGTTACTTTTGAGATGCCTAGTAGACTTCACACTGAAAACTTCAAGTAGGTGGTTAGATAAAGGAATTTGCACTTCAATGGAAAAATCAGAGCTAAGCATATTAATTTTGAAGTAATTAAAACATAGATGATATTTAAAGCCATTGGATTAGATGGATTTACCAAGAGAGGGTTGTAGATAGAAAAGGTCAGGAATCAAGTCTTAGGTCATTGCAACATCAAAGATGAGGAAGAGGGGGATACAATAAAGGTGGCAGAAACTACCAGTAAGTAGGAAGAAAACATTATAGTAGAGTCCTAGAAATCAAGTAAAGTACATATTTTTAGAAGGAGGGAGAGGTTATTTTAAATGATGTTGGATTGTAGAATAAGATGAGAGAGGAGAAAGAAATGGATGTGGCCACAAGAAGGTATTTAGTAAATCTTGAAAAGAGCAGTTTCAGTAGAGTGATAGAGATGGAAAAGCCTGACTATATGGTAGCTATGCATATGGAAGCTTATTAAAGAGACTTTGTCTGAATGTAAAAAAGCTCATAACTTACCCTGAAAGGTTTTCTTTTATAATTAAAATCAATCCATGTCCTCAACCTGTTTTCTTATATTTTACTTATTTTTTTCATAAACACTTATGGAAAATAATCCAGCTACTTGGGGGTCTTTCTTTTCCTTTGCCTTAAAATTTATCCACCAATACATTTTTATTTCTTGTAAAGCTTGCTGCCCTAATGGCTACTCACCCATTGATTCAGCCTCTAAGACTTACCATTTAGCAACGAAGTCATTAATCAGTTTTGGATTTAAAGTCCAGACTTTCTGACAGAAGTGGAAAAAAAAGATATCTAAATAAAAGTAGAAAAGTATATGAAGAGAAAAATGGGTATATATATATATACATAAAATTTTATTATAAACCAAGGATAGAAAAAACTTGGAATAAAAAGTAAAGGGAGATCCCTATGAGATTAGAAGAGGAAGTAGAAGCCCCTTGAGAAGAAATCAGCCTAAGAGAACAGGGAGGAAGAGGGGGAAGGGAGGAATTTAATTAACATGAGAAGCTCAAGGTTAAGACTCAGCAATATCTATAGAAGCTCTGAATTTAGCAGAACACAGGGCATCAGCCCTGTCATGCTGAGAATTGACAATAAACACTGTGAAAGCAGAGGACACAGAGGTTGATGCCCAGAAACCATGCAAATGAATTATGTCACAACCAAAGATCAGAAAGAGCCAGTAAGGGTGGAGAAGATGGGGAACAGGAGCCCCTACATTCAAATTGAGATGTCTACCTAAGCTTCCCCTTATAGCCAGATTTTGGAGGAAGGGGGATGAAAAAGGAGATCCTCTGGAGAAAAGAAAAAAAAACAAATTTACAGAGCATTTACTCTCCAAGAAAGCAAATTAACCTGAAAGAGATTGTTATAAACCAGAAGGGATCTAGTTACCCCTGACAAGTTAACTTATTTCCCTGATTATCAGTAAGAATGATGACTTATAAAGAATTTTAGTTCAGCTATAGATTAAATAATTTAATTTGCATATTTGAATCCTTCTATGTTATGTTTTTACTGTACTATGTCTGGATTTTGGTTGAGTTTTTACTATATTCAGCAACTTCTTAGGAAATGTCTTTCTATCTCATTAAAATCTGCCCCTATAGAAGTTTCAGTCAATTTTCATTTTTTTATTCCTTCTTAAGAACATTTAACCACTCTTGTAATTGTATTCTCTTTACAAATAATTTTAAATGTTTTCTTAAGTCACAAGCCTGTTCTCTGTTTCAGTCTAAATATTATTCTTAACTTTTTGACATTTGTTTTTCACTCAACTCTTTTGAGTCCTTTTGAATTATTCTTTCTTATATGTTAGTCCCTAACTTGTCAATATTTCAGTAGAATTGAACTACTCTTAAGGAAAATATAAATTCAACCTTTTAAAATATTTTTCATTTTTAGTCAATTTTTTTCCTAAAAAACACAGTAAACATACCAAAGGAGCATATCTTGGTTTTAGAGGTGCAGGGGGCATCTTGCACCGACAGAGACGTTTGATCTTGGGTGATGGTAGAAAAGGCTCACAAGGAGGTAGTGGTGGTCTTTCTCTTGATGGAGGGACTCTACCTGTACCTGCTTTTTTTCCTTTTTCTTTGAATGTAGTCTTTTTGGATGACATTTTGAATTCTCTCTTTAGTTCCAGTGCTTCCTTCTTTGAATCGGTAGATGTGGCATCTGATTCATCAGCAACTCTCTTTTTAGCCCCAAGTTTATATAGTGACTCTTCAGATTCAGCATCTGAAATTTTGAATGTCTCAGGCTTCTTTGAGTCTTTCTTGGAAGATTCATCAGATTCTGAATCAGTAGACTCTATGCCCTTCTTTGCATCCTGTTTCTTGGCATCTTTCTTTGAATCTTTCTTTGTCTTCTTTGAATCATACTTATCCTTCTTTGACTCCCAATCAGATTCAGTTTCAGTAGACTCTTCAGACTTCATTGCAAACTTATTTTTGTCATCTTTCTTTGAATTTCTCTTATACTTTTTTTCATTTTTTTTATCCTTTTTTGAATCCCATTCAGATTCAGAATCAGCATCAGTAGACACTACGTCCTTCTTGGCATCCTTTTTCTTGTCATCTTTTTTTGAATCTTTCTTATCCTTCTTTTCATCTTTCTTCCAATTCTTTGTCTCCAATTCAGACTCAGTTTCGGTATCAGTAGACACTGCATCCTTCTTTGTATCCTTTTTATTGTCACTTTTCTTTGCATCTTTCTTAGCCTTCTTTGAATCTTTCTTTGCATCCTTTGAGTCTGCAGATTCTGCATCGGTAGTCTCTGTGTCTTTTTTTTTTTCATCTTTTTTCTTGTCACTTTTCTTTGAATCTTTCTTAGCCTTCTTTGGCTCTTTCTTTGCATCCTTTGAGTCTACAGATTCTGCATCAGTAGACTCTGTGTCTTTCTTTGCATCCTTCTTCTCTTTCTTTGGACCTTTCTTATCTTTCTTTGCATCTTTTGAGTCTACAGATTCAGCATCAGAGCTATTCTTTGCATCCTTTTTTGTGTCCTTTGAAGGCTTCTTTGAATTATTCTGAGAGTAATTCTTTAACCACATATCACATTTCATAGATTCAGCACCAGACTCCTCTAAATAGAGTATGAAATCCATATTTGAACTATTTTTTGAACAAGTCTGTGATCTGGCATCAGAATTGTTCTTTGAGTCTTTAGAATCCTTCTTTGCACATATGAATTTGTTATCTGTCTCCATGGAATTCTTCGAATCTCTCTTATCTTTTTTTGGATACATCGAGACTGCTTTAAAATCACTGGATTCTGGGTTTATTTCTAATTTGGACTTTGAATCCTTAGATAGTTCACTTTTACGTGATAATTTTGATGGAGTTTTATCTGCTTTATTTCCTCTTTTAAGTTTCTCATCATTTACCATTTTAGATTCTGTAGTTGTTTCATGTGGGCCTTTGTTTTTCTTGGAATTTCTCTGCAAAGTTCTTCCTTTTTTGTCATCTTTGGACTTTTTAGATTCTCCATATTCTGTACGGGCTTTAAGAGTATAAGGATTTCTGAATGGAGCCTGTCTCTTGACAGTTAAATAAACAGATGGCCTTTGGGAAATTTTTTTTAAAGAATGCCTTATCCTTATATAATCTGGCTTCTGAACTTCTTCTAATTTTTTTTTGTCGTGTCTCTGAAAAGATCAGTTAGAATAATGATAAAAGTTTTTAAATAAGTTATAACATTTTAATATTGAAACATGAAAATTGTCTATTTTTTCATTAACCATCTACTTAAAATGGAAAAAAAATAGTTTCAACATTCTATGTGTGTTCTGTATGTGAGATAACTCCATATTAGAAACCAAATGACTTTAAACCTTAGGATTTTCTCAATGCTTATATAGAGATTGGAGCAAGCCCACAGTGATCCATGAAATTTAAGGGCCCATCCTCACCATTGATAGTGGGTTCCTTTTCAATCCCTATATGGGAGAGATCTTTTGAATCATTTTGTGCAACTTTCATCCCCAAGTTAACTCAGAAGTAAGCTGATGCCCTTGTAGTTTGTCGTGACGATTCTTGTGATAACTGTAGGCTTCAGGCCTTGGTCTGATTTTTACTCCTGCTTTCAACATCTCTGATCAAATCAAGAGCCCGAGAGCCCTAATGTGAATTATTTCTCAAAACAAGGACATAAAATGAAACAAATATCCGATCCTATTAATTTGTGTAGCGGTAGTAAAATTTTGTTTAAGTCTCAACCCCAAATCTGTCAAATCTAGACACATATACTAATTTTGCACTTATCTTTTATAGTCCTTTAACTATTCAGTAGGGACATCACCAGTCAATGAAATGGCCTTATAGAATTAAAGGAGGACCATGAAGAGAAGCATGAAACTTGGATCATTACAGATGTAATGAATGACACTTGAATAAATGCATTGACTTAACTCTGCTTTGGGTGATGCTTTTAAAACACATTTTGATATTACGATGGGTGATATCAGATTTCATTTAAATCACAGTAGTTAAAATAACACAAAGAGTAGGAGTGGAAAATAGAGAAAGATTTGATGTTCCCTTTCAAACATCTCCATCATCTTCTCTATTTGTAAGCTAGTTTTTCCTTTTCCTTATTAATAAGATAATGGCACTTAATAACAGAGGTAGAGAATTTGAATGTCCCAGTATCTAGTATCCTGAGTGCCAGATTAAAGAAAATGGAGAGGCCCTGAAACCTCATAAACATTGGTTCATATTCTAAGATTCAGTTTAGATGTTTTTGCAAATGGTAACCATTTCCTGAGAGATCCCACTGGTTGCAGCATTAGGTTCTGTAGCTTACATAGCCTAATAGCTGTATAATGCCTTTGAAAAGGAGAATTATGTATAAATAAAAGTTTATTTTTTTTAATATTTTTTTAAAGATTTTATTTATTTATTTGAGAGAGAGAGAGAATGAGAGATAGAAAGCACGAGAAGGAAGAGGGTCAGAGGGAGAAGCAGACTCCCCGCTGAGCAGGGAGCCCAATGCGGGACTCGATCCCGGGACTCCAGGATCATGACCTGAGCCGAAGGCAGTCGCTTAACCAACTGAGCCACCCAGGCGCCCTGTATAAATAAAAGTTTATCTGAAACAGATGGGGGTAATCTGTTGTACAGGGAATTATAAACTTAAAAATATCTGCTTCCAAAAAGAAGTGAAATTCAAATTACATATTTTTAAATTTATATTTATATATTAAATAATCTTAGATTTAGTTAAAAATGACATTTTCAATACTTACAGGAACTGAGATTTGTGATTGTGAAGGTCTTGATCTCTTTTTTCTACCTGGCTGGAGTGGTTTGGGAAATGTCAAAGTAAAATAATCTTGACTCCATAATTTTCTGCTTGATTCATTGACTAAAATGAGTGCGAACAATGAACAATTTGCAGTTAATAGACTTTTATCAACACTGAAATATTCTTGATTAAGAAATATATTGTTTCAGATAAGTTATAACTTAAAATATAGCTTTTCCCTCTGGAGTCTATAGTTTATTTACATATCAGTTAGGGAAAATAAAAGCTGATTTCTCCATTTAGGGCTAAATTATGTGTAAGCTTACATTTGCAATTTTATTTTCTAGATTAAACTAGTTTTCACAATTTTCACTTAAATCACAGTAGTTAAAATAATACAAACAGTAGGAATGGAAAACAGAGAAAGATTTGATGTTTCCTTTCAAACATCTCTATTTTGGTTTTTCTTTATGTCATTTTGGTTCTGTGGCAGACAATATGTTTTCTGTAGTCCCCATGAGAGCACAATGCAGAGCATAGTCAGTAAAGTCTCTATTGATTAAATCTTATAATTTATTTTAGTGCTGCTTTGACCTCAATGACATCCAAGCCACAGAAATTAAGGCTACAAACCCAAATCCTGATTTTAGTTCAGGGAACCCTATTTAAAGAATGGCATATACACCTTTGAAGGCATCCAGAATAAAGTGATCAAACTATGTGGAAGCTCTAACATCAAAAGAAGAAATGATGAGATAACTCAGAATAGTTGTCCTGGAGATAAGGAGACTAATGAGAGATGTGATCACTACATTCAAATATTTAAAGAACTGTTATATGAAAGTGTAGTAGCAATAGTAATAACAGAATAGCTGCAACTGCTAACACTTACATAGTGCTTACTATTTCTCAGACTGTTTTAAGCACATTTAATTTTCACAACAACCCTTTGAATTAGATATAATTTGTAATTGCTTCCATTTTATAAATGTACAAAAATGAAGCACTGAGAGAAGTTAAATTGTTTGCTAAAAATCATAAAGTGGAAGAGCTGAGATTCAAAGACAGATAGTTTGGCTCAGAGTCCGTGCTCTTAATCACAATGTTAGAGAATTCTATGTATTTCCTAAGAGGACTAGATCCAGTGGGTAAAAGTTGTATCAGTGCAGGCAGATATCAGCTCAATATATAAGGAGAACTTTCCTTAAGTTGTAGCTGTTCAACAAAATAAAATGTCCACTTTCATCATTTTGACTCTTTTTTCTCTACTTTGAGTTTTATAATTGTGGATTTTAAATAAAAGGAAAACTTATGCAATTAAGGTCGGTTTTTATAATGAGGAAGAACAAACTCTTTCCTTTAAAATAGCTAGTACAAACCCACATCAAGGTCAGAAATATTTTAAACACACACACATTTCAACACACATACACATATACACATACGTATAGGTTTTTTTAAATATTAAGAAAAAAATCAGGGCACTTTATGGTGTATAAAATTGAACTGATGATACTAGTCCTTTGTCCCTAAAATAATTTTAAATATAATCTAAATAATATTGAACTTTAAAGACTCAATTCTTACTTGATACGGAATTATCATTTGTTCTGATGTTTATTTCTTGCCTGTTAAAAAAAAGTTTCAATTAAATTTGTGCTATAGTTAATAATAACTAATAATAGTAATATGTCAATAATAACATAATATATTTTATAATATGATATAATATAATATACCAGTAAGAATGCCTGGTATCAAAAAGACAAAAAATAAGTGTGAGGATGTGGAGAAAGGAAACACTTGAACATTGTTGCTAGGAATGTAAACTGCTGCAACTACTGTGGAAAACAGCATAGAGGTTCCTCCAAAAACTAAAAATAGAAGTACCATAAGATACAGTAATTCCACTTATAGATATTTACTTGAGGAAAACAAAAAGATTAATTAAAATAGATATATGAACCATTCTGTTTACTGCAGCATTATTTATAATAGCTAAGATATGGAAGCAACCCAACTGTCCATCCATAGATGAATGGCTAAAGAAGATGTAGTATATATATAATGGAATATTACTCAACCATAAAAAAGAATTAAATCTTGCCATTTGCAGCAACATGGATGGACCTAGAAGGTAATATGCAAAGTAAAATAAGTCAGATATATAAAAATCATATAGCAAATAAAAAATGCTATGTGATTTTACTTATATGTGGAATCAAGAAAAAAAACAATGAATAAACAAAAATAGAAACAGACTCTTAAGTACAGAGAACAAGCTGGTGGTTGCCAGAGGGGAAGAGAGTGTCAGGATGAACAAAATAAGTAAAGAGGATTAAGAGGTACAAAATTTCCATTTTAAATAAATAACAGGGATGAGATGTATAGCACAGGGAATATAGTCAATAATATTTTAATAATGTACTATACTGACAGATGATAACTGCACTTATTGTGGTGAGCACTGTATAATATATAGAATTGTTAAATCACTATGTTCTACACCTAAAACTAGTATAATATTGTATGTCAACTATACATCAATAAAAAAGTAACATAAATTTTAAAACATGCCAAAATACTATATTTCCTATGTATTATTCGATATTGTAATAAATAAACAGAGTTTGCATTATAAACATTGATAAACATATAATAAAAATACTTTAAATTTGTACTATGGGTAAAAATAATAATAATATTGTTAATAAGGCTTCAATTGTAACACATTGAGGATTTTTTAGTGTAGTTGATGCAATTTTACATTAGTTTCAGTTGTACAACATAGTGATTTCACAAGTTTATTTATTTATTTATTTTTTTTAAGTATGGTATTTTTTTAAAGATTTTATTTATTTATTTGACAGAGAGAGAGACAGTGAGAGAGGGAACACAAGCAGGCAGAGTGGAAGAGGGAGAAGCAGGCTTCCCGCCGAGCAGGGAGCCCAATGCGGGGCTCGATCCCAGGAAGCTGGGATCATGACCTGAGCCGAAAGCAGAAGCTTAACAACTGAGCCACCCAGGCGCCCCTGTGATTTCACAAGTTTATACATTATGTTATGTTCACAAGTGTAGCCGTCATCTGTTCCAATACATTACTTTTACAATATAACTATTATCCTTATGCTATCTATGCCTTTTATTACCATGACTGTCAACAATCACTTCCCTGTATTTATAGGTCTGATTCTGCTTTTTGTTTGTGAATTTATTTTTTGAGATTCCACATATAAGTGAAATTATATGGCATTTGACTCTCAGCCTGATTTATTTCAATTAGCATAACCCATGCTGTCTAAAATGGCAAGATCTCATCCTTTCTTATGGTTGCATAATAGTCCAGTCTGTGTGTGTGTGTGTGTGTGTGTGTGTGTGTGTGTGTGTGTGTGTGTGTGTGTATCATCTCTATCTATCATCTATCTATCATCTATCATCCATCTATTTATCTATCTATCTATCCATTTATCTATCTATCATCTATCATCATCATCTATCTATCATCTATCATCATCTATCTATCTATCATCATCTATCTATCTACCTAGTCTTGACTTAGGGGACATATCTAGAAAAATTTTGCTCTGGTTGATGTCAGAGAAATTATTGTCTGTGTTTTCTTCTAGGATTTTTATGCTTTCAGGTCTCACATTTAGGTCTAATCCATTACGAGTTTATTTTTGTGTTTGCCGTTAATAAGTGGTCCAGTAACATTCTTTTACATTTAGCTGTCCAGTATTTCCAGCACTATTTATTGAAGAGACTGTCTTTTGCTTATTGTATATTTCTGCCCTTTTTGTTATTTCTGGGCTCTCTATTTTTTCCATTGATATATATCTATTTATGTGTCAATACCATATTGTTTTGATTACTAAAAATTTGTGGTATTTCTTGAAATCTGAAATTGTATTATCTCTAGCTTTGTTATTTTTTTCTCAAGATTGTTTTGGCTATTTGGAGTCTTTTATAGTTCCATACAAATTTTAGTATTATTTGTTCTACTACCGTGAAAAATGTTGGCATTTTGATAGGGATTTCCTTAATCTGTAGATTACTTTGGGTAGTGTGGACATTTTAACAATATTGGTTCTTCCATCCATTAGCATAAAATATCTTTCAATTTGTGTCATCTTCATTATCTTTCATCAATGTTTTATGGATTTCAGAGTATAGTCTTTCACCTCCTTGATTAAGTTTATTCATAGATATTTTATAATTTTGGGTGAAAATGTAAATTATGCTTTTTTAAAATATCTCTTCCTACTACTTTGTTATTAGTGTTTAGAAATGTTACTGATTTTTGGGTATTTTGTATCCTGCAACTTTACTGAACACATTTATCAGTTCTAGTAGTTTTTTGATGGAATCTTTCAGATTTTTATTCTATATTCATGTCATTTCCAAATAGTGAGAGTTTAACGTCTTTACCAGTATGAATGCCTCTTATTTCTTTTTCTTGTCTGATTGCTGTGGATAACACTTCAATACTATGCTAAATAAAAGTAGTGAAGGTAAACATCTATGTCTAATTTCTGATCTTAGAGCAAAAGCTGTTGGTTTTCACCTTTCAGTATGATGTTAACTGTGCATATTTCACATATGGCTTTTATTATGTTGAGATATGTTCCCTCTAAACCCACCTTGTTGAGAGTTTTTATCATGAATGTATGTCGTACTTTGTCAAATGCATTTTTTTGCATCTATTGAAATGATCATATGATTTTTTTCCTTTGTTTTGTTGATGTGGTATATTATGTTGATTGACTTACAAATATTGGACCACCCTTGCATACCCAAAATAAATCCCATTTGGTTGTAGTGAATGATCTTTTTATGTATTTTTTAATGCGGTTTGCTAATATTTTGGTGGGAATTTTTGCTTCTGTGTTCACTAGGTAAATAGACCTGCAGTTTTCTTTTTGTAAGTGTCTTTGGTTTTGGTATCAGTATAATTCTAGCCTGGTAGAATGTATTTGGATGTTTTCCTCCTTTTTCTATTTTTTTAGAGTATTTTGAGAATAGGTATTAAATTTTCTTCAAAGGTTTGGTATAATTCACCTGTGAAGCCATCTGGCCCAGGACTTTTATTTTTTGGTAGTTTTTTGATTACTGACTCAATTTCACTACTAAAAATTGGTCTGTATGGATTTTCTATTTCTTTCTGATTCGGTTTTAAAAGATTGTTTCTAAGAATTTATCCATGTCTTCTAGGTTGTCTAATTTGTTGATACATAAATTTTTGTAGTATTCAGTTATAATTCTTTGCATTTCTCTTGTGTCACTTGTTACTTCTCTCTAATTTCTTATTTTATTTATTTGGGTCCTTTCTCTCTTTTTTTTCTCGATGAGTCTGGCTAAGAATTTATCAATTTTGTTTATCTTTTCAAAGAACTAGCTCTTGGTTTCATTGTTTGTTTGTTTGTTTGTTTGTTTAGTTTCTCTGCCATTTATTTCCTCTGACCATTATTATTTCCTTTCTTTTACTCACCTTGGGATTTTTTGTTGTTGTTTTTCTAGTTCCTTTATATGTAAAGTTAAATTGTTTATGTGAGCTTTTTCTTGTCTCTTCAGATAGGCCTGTATCCCAATATATTTCCTACTTTGAAGTGATTGCACTGTGTTGCAAAGATTTTGTGTTTTCATTTTCATTTGTCTCCATTTATTTATTTATATTTTAGTTCTTCTTTGACTGCTTGATTAACTCATTGGTTCTTTACTGTCATGTTGTTTAGTTTCCATGTGTTCATGTTTGTGGTTATTCTAGTCTTTTCTCTTGTGATAGATTTCTAGTTTCATACTGTTGTGATTGGAAAAGATGCATGGTATCATTTCAATTTCTTAAATTTATTGAGGCTTGTTTTGTGTCCTAACATGTGACCTATTCTGGAGAATGTTCCATGCAAACTTGAAAAGAATGAATATTCTATTGTTTTTGGATGGAATGTTTTGTATATACCTCTTATGTTGACCTTGTCCAAAGTGTCAAGACATTTTTTCTTTGTTGATTTTCTGCCCAGATGATCTATCCATTGATGTAAATGGTTTGTAAAGTCCCTTGCTATCATTGTGTTGCCATCAATTTTTTCCTTTATTTCTTTTAATATTTATGAATTTAGGTAGTCCAGTGTTGGATCTGTAGATATTTATAATTGTTACAACCTCCTGTTGGAGTATCATTATGTAATGTATCATTATGCAATGCCTTTCTTTGTCTCTTGTTTTTCTTTTAAGATTTATTTATTTAGGGCGCCTGGGTGGCTCAGTTGGTTAAGCGACTGCCTTCAACTCAGGTCATGATCCTGGAGTCCCGGGATCGAGTCCCGCATCGGGCTCCCTGCTCAGCGGGGAGTCTGCTTCTTCCTCTGACCCCCTTCCCTCTCGTGCTAGATACTCTACTAGAGTAACCTACTAGATACTCTCTTAAATGAGAGAGAGAGAGTACATGAGAGTGGGGAGGGTTAAAGGGAGAAGCAGGCCCCTCGCCGAGCAGGGAGCCCGATGCGGGACTTGATCCTGGGACTCCAGGATCATGACCTGAGCCGAAGGCAGTTGCTTAACCAACTGAGCCACGCAGGCGCCCCTCTTTTTCTCTTGTTAACAGTCTTTGTTTTAAAGTCTATTTTTCAAT